GAATTTGGAATAGTCATTATCAAAAGTTATTTGTAGCAAAAGAAAAAAAAAGAAAAAGAAAAAGGAAAAAGTTATTTGTAGGAAATATTGAAGATTAAGTGAGGTACAAGGTAAGTGACACAGTGAAGAAACACAGTTTCAGAATATGAGACACCTAATGTGGTTTCTGCAAATTAGTGGCATAAAAAAAGAAAAAGAAGAAAAAAGAAGGCTTAGGGAGTTATTTGCCAGTAAAAGAGATACAAAAAACAGTACTTTGGTTTCTGTTCAGATCAAATTAATTAGAAAAGACATTTTTAAAGTAAGATGGGGAATTTGAATATTGACTGGTATTACTTAATATCATGGAAGTATACTTAATTTGAATGTGTATAGTAACTTTGTGAGTATGAAAGGCAGTGGCCAGATTAATGGTACATACTGATGTATATGGATGAGGGAAATAATGACGTGATATCACTGCTTTAAAATTACTTTTATATATATTTGAAAAATTTCATTAAAAAATTCTAAAAAATATTTTTTTCTTTTAGAAAAAAATATCTGGAATTTATTTTAAAATACCTTGGAAAAAATGAATAAAAGGTAGATAAAGGAATATTGCTAATATTTTAGTACCTGGTAAATATAGTGATGGTAGATATATAGAGGTTCATTATACTCTTTTCTCCACTTTTATATATATTACTGAAGTTATTTTAATAACCAACACTGTACTTTTTTTTTTTTTTTGAGACGGAGCCACACTCTGCTGCCCAGGCTGGAGTATAGGGGAGTGATTTCAGCTTGCTGCAACCTCCACCTCCTTGGTTCAAGCAGTTCTCTGCCTTAGCCTCCCAAGTAGCTGAGATTACAGGCATGTGCCACCATGCCCAGCTAAGTTTTGTATTTTTAGTAGAGATGGGGTTTCACCATCAACGCTGGTCTTGAACTCTTGACCTTGTGATCCACCCACCTCGGCCTCCCAAAGTGCTGGGATTACAGGCATGAGCCACTGCACCCAGACAGTAATTAAGTTTTTATACTGTAATTTCTCTAATTGTTGTTAATATATTCTTAAAAGTATTTTTCCTCCTAATTTATTTATTACTGCAAGGCAGTTCCTTCTTGAGGTTCTATTTAAAGTTTATGTATTTCTTCTCAGGAAAAAACAATTACTTAAAACTAGTGATTTGTACAGGCAAGATGAGTTTTAGAAGGTGTTCTTATAATTTCTTTTTATATTAAAAATATATAATGTCACATTTATCTTTTCCTAACAACTGATCGTCTTTCTTTTTCATTGTGTAGTTATAGTTTAAAAATTTTACTCCATGGACTACCGTAGTTGTTGTTCTGCTTAAGAAAGATGTTAGTGTTTAACACTACTATGAGACACAGCTGATAACAATTGTGCTCAACAATCAAGATGACTAATAGTTGGGTTTTAAAAATGACAGTGAAAATTCAGAAACATTTTATACTTGCAAAAGTGAGTATTTTTTAAATCACTGCTTTAAAATTACTGAAGTTATTTTAATAACCAACACTGTACTTTGCATTTTTTTTTGAGATGGAGTCCCCTTCTGTTGTTAGGCTGGAGTACAGTGGCGTGATCTCAGCTCACTGCAGCCTCCACCTCCCTAATTCAAGTGATTCCCCTGCCTCAGCCTCCTGAGTAGCTGGTACTACAGGCACAGGCCACCATACCCAGCTAAAATTCTTTTTTTGTATTTTTAGTAGAGACGGGGTTTCGCCATGTTGTCTAGGATGGTCTCTGTCTCTTGATCTGCCTACCTCAGCCTCCTGAAGTGCTGGGATTACAGGTGTGAGCCACCATGCTTGGCCCCAACACTGTATTTTAAGGAAAAAATGTAAGCAAAGATTTTTAGTGATTCTAAATTTGTTTTGCTCTCTGGACCTCTTTAGACTTTTAAAAATTATTGAAGACTACAAAAAGCTTTGATTTATGTGGGTTATATCTCTTAATATTTATCATATTAGAAAATCTGAGAAGTTTAAACAGTTTTCATTTATTAAATTTATTTACAAATAACAGCTAATTACATGTTTATACAATTAAAGTCTGGCTTGCAGAAAAACAGTTGGATTCTCATATCTGCTTTTGTATTCAGTTTGTTAGGATATTGCATGCTGTATACTCTGACAAAAACTTTGTGTATACACAAGAGACAGAGTAAAAAACATAAGTAATATCTTAGTATTATTATAGAAATAATTTTGATCTTATAGATTCCATGTAAGTGTCTTAGGAACACCCAGGGTTCATATTTTGAAACTTGCTGGAGTCATCTCTGCAGTGCTGTGTATTGTGTGTGACAAATAGTGTTTTCAAATGAAACAATTATTTTCAAAATATAGTGTCAGTTGCCAAAGTTTTTATTTGATTTTTTTTTTTTTTTTTTTTTTTTTTTTTTTTTTTTTTTTTTTTTTTTTTTTTTGAGACAGGATCTTGCTCTGTCATCCAGGCTGAAGTGCAGCTACGGCTTACTGCAGCCTCTACCTCCTGGACTCAAACGATCTTTCCAATTTAGATTCCCAAGTAGGTGGGACTATAGGCAAGTGCCACCATGCCCTGCTAATTTTTGTATGTTTTGTGGAGATAGGGTCCACCATATTGCCCAGGCTGCTCTCAAACTCCTGGGCTCAAGCAGTATACTCACACCCAACTCAGCCTCTGGGAGCTGGATTCTTTGATACATTTTTACTTTTAGGGGAACTGTAAAAATTAGCTTATGCTTACTTATGCAAATAAATTTGAGCATTGAAGAAGGATATCATGTTTTAGTCTTTTGTTTATAGATTTCACATCTTTTAGACTACGATTTAAGAGGAGTGATCACCTTGTATCTTAAGGAAATGAAAATTATTTGATAGAAATGGATTGTTAAATATTTTTAAAACAAGTTTTGACAGTTACTTGCCATTAAGGGGGAAAGCAGCTTTAAAATGTATTAGTTTATTGAAGAAATACACAAGATGCTTAATTGTCATTAGTGAGCAAGTATTAATGTTCTTTCCTCTTTTATCTATACCTAGAAAAGTTAATTATAAAGTTTTTCAAAGCAATATTATGCTGCTTTTTTAGTAATTTTTAAACCTTATCTTTGTTGGTTTGCCTTCCAGCTTCATCTGTTTGCAACCTAAGAATCAGTAGTACTGTACATCAAATTACCTGATATGGAAGGAAAATGATAAATAATGAAAATATCCCATATTGCTTATACTCTCAGTTATAATTATTAATACAAGATCCAAGGGATATTGGTGTGGGGGATGAGGAGGAAGAAGCATTGCAAGTAAAGCTATTTCACAAGTATTCTGTAACTTCAAATCTTTTATTTCATAGTTTGAAACAATAGTGATGAAGACTGAATAGCTAGTAAGATAACTTACTTTCACTAATAGCAGTATGACAGGGATTTTTAATTGATGCTTGTTGGTAATATTAGACACAGAATGTATTTGTAGGCTTTTGTTAATTAGAAAACTAATACAAATATCAAATTATTTTGGGCAGGTTATAAATTTTTTTTGGCAGCACAAATCCTACCAAGTTTTAATGGGCTGCTGTCTTGTTTTTACATTAGCATGATGTATGAATTTTTTCATTACTACTCTTAGCCTCTTTACCCATTTGCTAGGAGTACATCAGCAGCACCAGGACATTTTTCCCTAACGTGTCTGGCATGCATCTGAAAATGTAACAGAGGAGGGGGAGTATAGCTAGATTTTAGAAGTACTTTTGCTAAATCATTTAAGAAACTTAAACTTCAGATTTGATAGTACTTCAGATTTTCTACATAATGTGCTCTTTCGATGAGTAGCTGTGTAGCAGCAGCACGGGAAAAGCAGAGTTCTTGGCCATACCAGCTCAATTGCATCTGCAGATGAGGATTTAAAATTCTGTGCAGCAGACAGTACCTCCAGCAGGCGAGTAAAAGGTTACTGCATTATTTTTCTTGTTTGTTTCCATAGCCTTTATCTACAAAGGATTTAAAAAAAATGGAATGGGAAGTGCATGCCTGTTTTTAGATATTCTGGAAATTGATTTAAGTATAACATGAATATCAAAAGGGCAGTGCAAGGTGAAGGCAGAGGCAGTGCTGGATCTTTTCAGCTTTAAACCAGGGAAGAAACTGAGCATGTTACATACGCAAATAAGAAACCTTTCAGTGCCACAGACAATAGGAAGTTTTAAAATACATCCTTTAATTTAAGGTTTTTATTATTACATTTAGTTTTTAGACTATCTTTCCCCAAAATGGGTGCTATTACATTAGCAATCTTTGGTCTATGAATGTTCATTTAAGTTACAGTAATTTGAAGTATGATTATTTGGGAAGACTATAAAGTATTTGTATTAATGTGACCCTCCCTTGTCCTGGAAATTGTAATGTGGATTAATTATGTGGTGTAAACAAATACCTTTGTGCATTGGCAAAGGTAGAATGCTTAAATATAAAAGGTATTATAGCTAACAGACTTAATATTGTTGCTTATGTTTTCAGGATGGCATGTGGTTTTTAAAAAAATCTTTTAAATGAAATGCAGATAAGCAAGTGGGAGAAAATTCAGTATCAAAACAGTGAGGTGTTTGATGGCTTTTTACTTACTGTCAATACCTACCTATATAGCCATATGTCCTTTTTTCTCATTAAAACTCTTATAACATTTATGATACCAAGAGCCTCCTTGTATCCAGCTTGTTTATTACATTATTATCTGCACCAGTATTTTTGCTATAGATTTTTATTGTTCATTACTTCTCAAGTCTACATAAAGTATTCAGAGGGAATTTTTTGCTTGCATATCTTATTCAGTTACCCTCCTACCCTCTCTTATCAGTCCTCAAAGATTTGTAATAGCTCCTGTCTACATTTTGTTTATTTTAAAATACTTAGGCCTATATTTTTGTATTATAGATTGAATAATAAGATTGAAAACAATTCTGTAAATTAATATATAATATAGAAGTAAAATTTGTTGATCATTCTTACTGTGAGTGTTTGGCAGGCTTCTTGAATTGTAGAGTCATAAAAGGTCAGCAGTTCTGATTGGTAAGTTAAAGAATCCGTCCAGTAATTTGCTCCCTGTTGTTTCTCAAAGCAATGCAGCAGCAGTTCTTTTCCAGATATTGAACGGTTCTTGAACAGTGTGTGTGGCGATGGGGAGGGGTGGAGCTCATTCCTGTTGGTTGTTGAAATAGTGTGCATTTACAGAGGGAACAGGTTGGATAGGCTGAGCTGAAGGAGTAGGCAAATAGATCTAAACTGAAGGAAGACGGAAAGTGGTTAGTATAATTTCAGGGTGTCTTATCTTGAGTTTGTTCCTTTTTTAAGTACTAGGGCTTTAATATAGAACAATTTAAAATATTAAAGCACCTTACCTTCTTTCTAAAGAGTAGCTAGGAGACTTCTGTTTTTAATAATGAGTTTTTCTTGGTGATGACTTTGTGTCTGGCATCTTCTGTAGCAAAGCTGTTGTTTTATTCTTTTAGCAGTGTTTCGTTCAGCTAGAGAGCTGCAGAATGAGGCAGTTTGACAATTTTGAGTATATATGTGACATCACCAGTTCTGATTTTTTAAGTCAGATTCTCATCTAATGAGCAAGTCAATGTGTGGCTGTGGCTGCAGCATTATTTCTTCTTTAATGAAGAGGTTGAGCCGTTCGACCTGCTGCTCCGATTTGTTCTCTTGTAGCCATAAATCAGACCAGTTGCAGAGATTATCCATCGAATGTCCCAGGCAACCAAAGGTAACTACATAGATTTATTTCAAATAAAAATATGCCATGAAAATGAGTGCATTATGACTAGGACCAAATTATTAAAGATAAAAGACCAATTAAAGATATTCCTAGCAGTTTTCTTGACCTTGCAGTAGATATCCAATATCATTTTGTCATCATCAGATTGTGTAGCAATGGAAATGCACTGCAGTAATTGATTTTGTAATAGGATCAGGTGATTTACTAGCTGCACTGACAACCACTTGCTTGCTTGCTCTGAGCTGTGGAGCACTCTAATGGATGTTGTGATTGCAGCCTGGAGTTTATGTGAGGCTGCTGGCCACTTAAAGCAGCAGCACTTATTTTAAAGATTAGATTAGTAAGTTTTTCTTTCTTATTTTATTTGTTTCAACTTTTGTGGGTAGCCTTGGTAATTTGTAGTTAACTTGCATGCCCTCATGAAATTGTAGAGATTATATATTATTTCATTCATCAACTCATAGTCTTTCTGCTCCATATTCCTAGCTCAGCGTCAGCATATTCTGGTATTGACCATGAGAGCACATCTCTAAAATATGAGAGTTTATGGTAACTCTGTTATCTAAAGAAAGTGGAATATTCCTCACATTCGTAAATTTCATTAGCTTCAAACTCTAGCTGTAATTATATTAGAATGATAGTAAGGTTCTTGATCTCTTGAGTTGTCCTACATTTGTTTTGCATCCTTTTTTGGTCTTTTACTTTCTTAGTGGTTTCATGAGGACAACAACATTTAGGAAATCTGAGTTGTATTACTTTTAAGGGATACTGATGAAGATATATAAAGCTATTTTAAAGTAGTATTTGAGAATATAAAAAATTAAAGATTTAATATCCAGTATTCTAAATTTCAAAGTGATTATTTTAAAATAATTATGGTTTTCCTCTTCTATGCCTTTTAAACAAATAATTGGTTCAAATCTAGAAGTGTGGTACTGTTGCTAACTGTAAAATAGAACTACTGTTGTAGAAACTCAGATGCTGTCAAAGACTTTGATTACTTAAAACATTTTGCTGATGGTGCTATATTAGAAAAAAACACTCTCTTCCCTTCTGTTCCTCTTCAATACCTCTACTTCATGTAAAGTGTTTTATGCGGACTCCGACACATACAAATACTGAATTTTTTTATCATTCCCTATTCATGTTCTTGCCATGATAGAGACACCATTTCTCTCAACCATATCTAACAACATTTATAAAAATTAAATAATATTAACCATTTACTAGAGTAGAAATTGAGCATAAGATTATAATCACGTAAAGTATTCAAATTACCATGTTAAGAGAGTTTTCCTTTTTGATGTACTCAAATAGTCACCCGTAGTGTTTGAAACTTTAGTGTTTCTAGAAAGTTGAAAATACTGTCAGTGCTAGCATGCACATTTCTCTTCATTCAGATACTTCAGACATTATGGAAGATTGAATATGATTTAAACACTAGTATTTGTAATCTTTTATTATTTAATAAGTAAAAAGTTTATAGACTCTCCTGACTTCCAGGGAAAACACCCTTTTGTGAACACTGATGAACATAAGCACATTAATATCATTTGAGATTTGGTCAAGGGTGTCTCTGAATTTCATATATATTGAAAATGTTTAATGATGGACCACCAGCAAGTTAACCATGGATGTCTTTTACTGGAGTGCCATACATCAAAGCATCTTTTCATGATGGGTTCAGCAAATAGGAGGCCAGGAAGTAAACACCAGAGTGTTGACTACTTTTTATCAAAGTTAGAACGATAACTGTGATTGATCTATGATTAGACAGTATTTTTATGTAAAATAAATGGACAGTGTGAAGTTCTAGCCTCAGTGGAGCTGCGTTTTCTAAAGAGCCCTGGATCAGGCATTAAAAGAGTTGAGTTTAATTTGACTCTGCCACTAATCTATTTTATAACCTTGATCAAATTATGTATGAACATTTTAAAGTCCTTTAAACATTCCCTTAAAAATGTCCATTAAAAAATTTTAATTTACCCTTACCAGTGGGAAATAGTTAGAATACTTGACCTTTAAGCTACAGAAGTTGGAGTTAGGAAAAAGGATGAAGTTTCTTAAACTTAGAAACTTAGGGGGGTGGTGGTATGGGTAACATGTTTCTGCTAAGAATACTGTTTTATCTTTTTGATATCCAATATTTCCTAAGTAGGATAGTAATTCTAGAAATTATCTGGTGCTGCCACCTTTTTTCTAGGCTTTCTAACAAAGGTAATGTCAGTAGGGAGTTACCTAGCATATTTTTTAGTAAACACCTTTTAAGAAGGGTGGCCATTATGTTATTGGTGTTCTCTCCAGATGTGCCTGTTAGATAAGCTTTGTGCAGTCATCTTTGTTGCCTAGGCAAAATGGTTTGTAGGTTGACTGACTGAACCCTTACTTTGGCCCAAGTACTGTATTAAGCCCTTTTTTTTTTTTTTTTTTTTTTTTTTTTTTTTTTTTTTTTTTTTTTTTTTTTTTTTTTTTTTTTTTTTTAAGGGCAGAGTCTTGCTTTGTCACCCAGTTTGGAGTACAGTGGCACAATCTTGGCTCACTGCAACCTCTGCCTCCTGGGTTCAAGCAGTTCTCTTGCCTTAGCCTCACAAGTATCTGGGATTACAGGCTCCTGACACCATGGCCAGTTAATTTTTTGTATATTTAGTAGAGACATGGTTTTTCCATGTTGCCCGGGCTGGTCTCTAAATCCTGGCCTCAAGTGATCTGCCCACCTTGGCCTTCTAAGGTGTTGGGATTATAGGCGTGAGCCACTGTGCCTGGCCTGTACTAAGCACTTGTTTGTTAACTATGTCATTTATGAGAAAGACATTCTAATGATTAATTTTAAAGATGAGAAAACTGAGGCTCAGAGAGGTTCTATACCTTTCCTAAAAATCACACAACTAGGAATTAGCAGAACCAATGTCAAAACTTTGAGCATCAGCCTGACGCTCAAAGGAAATGCTCATTGAAGAAGCACTTTGGATTTTGAAATTCCTGCTAAGTATAATGCAAATATTAAAAAAAATCCCAAATCTGAAACATTTCTGGTTCCAAGCATTTCAGATAAGAGATACTCAATTTGTATTTGCAGTTCCAATTAAGCTGTGAGTGTAGAGATGAAGCCAAATTTTATCTGAAGATGTTATATGATTAGCTAATTTTTAAAGTCTTGTATAAGAAGTGATTTGTTCTTTTACTCAGCACTAATTCATAGGAAATAATTATTCATATAAAGCATATTTGTACTTTTTGGAGTAGTGTTTTCCAAAGTGTGGTTCAGGCTGAGCACTGTAATCCTAGCACTTTGGGAGGTAGAATCAGATGGATTGCTTGAGTTGAGTTTGAGACCAGCCTGGGCCACATGGCAAAACCTCATCTCTGCAAAAAATACAGGAAAATTAGTCAGGCATGGTGGCATGTGCTTGTAGTCCCAGCAACATGGGAGGATCTTCTGAGCCTGGCAGGTCAAGGCTGCAGAGAGCTGAGCTGTGATTGTGCCATTGCATTCTAGCCTGGGCAGCAGAGTGAGACCCTGTCTCAGGAAAAAAAAAAAAAACGTGTAGTTCAGGGATCACTTATATCTGTTACTTTGGATGGTGGTTAAAAGTACCAGTTTACATCAGGACTCATTGAAAGAATCACCGAAATAGGATCCAGAGATCTTTGTTTTTAAATAAGCCTCACACATGATTCTTGGTTATACTAAATTGTTGTAACCAATGATATTGAGAATGTTTTCCTGTTTTACCCTTTTTCTATGTTGCCTTGCAGCTTTTTTACCTTTCTTTTAAGAATTTGTTTACAAACCATAGATGATTTGTAAAATCATCCTCTGACTTATGGTGAAATGTAAATTAGTTCTTTCGTGGTACTCATTTTAGGAAGATGTTTAGGATTAAAAGTATTCATAAACTTTGACTCAGAAAACCTACTTCTAGGAATTATCCTAAGGAGATAATCAGATTCACAGGAAGATGAGGCACAAGGATGTTCATACCATTATTATCTATAGTGGTGAAAAACTGGAAACAAGTCAATTTCAAACATCAGAGAAATGGTTCAATTTTTATATCCATTTGCTTGAACTACCATCCAGCCATAAAATGTCATATGGGGAAGATTTTATAAGACATAGGAAGGTGCTCATGATTTAACGTAAAGTCTTAAAAGAAGAATGTAAAATTATGGTCATAAATAAATATATATATATATATATATATATATATATATATATATGTAGTGCATGTGGTCCTAGGTTAAATCATATGAAATTACTGGGTTTGTAGGTCAAGAGTAGTAGAATATCAACATTTTCATATAGTGTAACCTAACAGGGCACCAATTTTTAAAGCACATATTTGTAACAGTTTGTAGAGAAGGAGACTGGAAGGAAATACAACAAATTTATAAAGTGATTATCTCTGGATGATGATATTATGGATAATTTGAAATATTTCTTCTTTATATGTCTGTTTTTAAATTATCTATTGTATCTTAGACTCAACCTTTGAAATAGGAGAAAGTAAATTAATAAAACAGGGAACAGTTGCAAACTTTCTGTGAAAAACAGTAAGTAAAATTTTTTATGAGATTGTAAATTCTTTAAGCTAGTATAAGCACCCCTTTATACTGATATTCTTAACTCTTATTATTGAGCGTGTTTATGCAAATGGAGCATATACACCTTTACCCACCCTGGAAATTTTGATTGGATTTTAATCTGCAGTGGAAAATATGCTTCAAAAGAAGAGGAAAAAAATAATTTATTTTCAAAGTTTTTTAAAAAGAATTGAATTCTTCAAGACCACCAACTTTATGCAGGAGTCAGTTGGGTAGCCACATTAAGCAAAAACCCTGTTTTAGGCTGTGTGGTTTTGAATTTTAATTGTAATTTAGCTAATCCATAAAATTAAATATATTAAAATTAGTAATCTGTGTATTTGTTTTAAAATATTGCTGTATTTTTTGAAAGGAAGATGTTTCTGTCACTTTCATATACTTTAATGGTTTAATTAAAGTGTAGAGCAAAGTATATGATGAGTCATTATTGCTTATTTTTATTCAACTACTTATTACCTGTCCTTTGATCTGGACAGTACATGTGTACTGGCATTTAATGATAGCCTGCTAATTGCTAACTTCTGAATACTAAAACTGAGAAGCCAAAAATTGCCTTCTTAGAGTTTACAGTCCTAATGAGAGAGACAGACAACAAAATAGTTACAAGGTGTTTCAGAACATAGGTATGGAATAGAACCTATTGGAGCAGAAAGTTTTTAAACTAATAATGTTTGGGAGTACTAGTGAAGAGTTACTTGGGAAGCCATCTTGGAAGAGGTGAATTTAGAAGGAGCCATAGATTTTGTTTTTGCCACAAGCCTAGGAATTTACATTTTAACAAGAACCCCTGCCTCCAGAGTGATCTTTAATTCTGTTGAAGTTTGAGAACCACCACTGTAGATTGTAGTTGATGCTATGAGAGTGGATATAGTACCCCAAGGAAGCTATGTAGAGTGGGAAATAAGAAGTTGGAAACTTCAGAGAAACAACATTGCTTTGATAAGTAGGGGAAGTTATGTGATAGTTATGAATAATATGTAATAAGCAATATCTTTTAGTGCTTAGGAGTAAGATTGAAAATTTTCTGAATTTTGTATAAGATCACAAAACTTACAGGAAGAATATCAAAATTCTGATTGAAGTTACTTTTTTCTGGGGGAGGGATGGGGGCTGAAATGTTATTCTTTACCCTAAAATGTATGATAAAGAGTGAATAAAAATCACATTAACCTTTTAAAGATGGGTCTAGGGATCAGAGACAGAGAAATCAGAGGGATTAAAAGTGGGTAAAAAATTTGAGGTGAGGAAGATTCAACAGGTTTAATTTTTAAAAGAAAAGTAAGCATAGGAGCAAAGGTTTATAACATATTCTGCTTCTATGTAGGAAATTAATTCCTAAATTTTGGAATTAACTATTGTTGAAAGTCATAGCAGTTTATCCTCCAAAGAGAGCTGTTAAAAATTTATCTTTTAAAATCAGATCTGGGTTAACTTTTAGATAAAATTTTGCATAACCAACAAGTCATTGGCTATTCAAAAATAAAGACTGGAAATAATTGCCATATAGCCTTGGCTCTTTGCGTATTTTGTCATACTGACTGTTGCTTCCTCCTTTACTTTCATTTTATTTATTAGAGCTTTATTAAGAGTAAATTGGAAAGAAAATGGAATTTCGTTATTTAAAAAATCTGAATAGTTGGATTGGGGCAATTCTCTTTCTATTAATGAGACTTTACTCATTTACATTGGTTTTATATTGGCGTTAAAGAATCAATGTCATATACTGGTGAATGTTAACAGAAAGAGACAAGAGTGAAATTAAAGAAATTGAACCATTAAGTGTGAGGGGTGTAACTTACAGAGCAAGTTTCGGAAAGGCCTAGGGGTAGACAAAGTCAAAACCATTAATAGTCTTAGAAATGATGGGGATTACATTTTCCCCCTCAGAGACAGGGGAGAAGGAAGAGAGGAGTAAAGAAACAAAACCTTTGAGATTGAGATATCCCAAGTTGATAGGTACACAGCTCTTTGAAATCTTCAATCATCTCAATAAGGAGAGGAACATATTTAGCAATATGTTTGAGTTGCTGACTGTAGGTAGGTCTTTGTAATTTGATACCTATTTTCTGTTTATCACAGTGAAAATTGTTCTTGATCAATGTTTTTATTTCAATAAGAAAAATACATTGCCACTTCCATCTTTAAGTTTTTACATAGAAGAGACATGACGTATAGTGAACGTTTTGAAAAACAAATCATGTAAATGTAAGGAATGCAGAAAGAGAAACCGTGTTTCAGAATGTTATAGTAAGGAGCCTGAATTGGTAGAGAGAATAAGAAGTGGTATGAACAGTCATGGTCCAAATGACATTCTATATAAAGCATACAGGACATGATTTGGAAGAGGGAGTGGGATGGGGAATGCTTATATTGCATCTCTTTACTAGATGGGTGTACTTGTTCTGTGTAAGGTACCATTTTCTCCCCTTTTTTGTTAGCTCCTTTATCCCTTCTTCCCACTTTTAAAGCAGGCGGTACTGGTATTTCTAACTTTAGTGATTTGATATTTCAAGATGTATCTATTTCAGAAAACGCAAGTTTTCAGAATACCTTGATATAAAACAAAATTTCCTGTAAATTTAAATACTTTTAATATTTAATAATGTGTATTACCAAATTTTGGTTAGAGTTTGACATTCCTAAGTGTTAGAATCATCTTAAACATATGTTGCCAAAAGAAATTTGAATGCTGAAGTCAATTTTTGTTGTTGTTCTGCTTAGTAAAGAAATGTATTCTGTCTAACCAGGAATGGTACAGAATACTTTGAGATTTTCATAAAGAAAATAATTTCAGATGTGCT